ATGATACGGGAATCTCCCTGCCCGAAATATTTCTCAGCCTGATAGTCGTGAAACTGCGCGACTGTTGTGCCTTAGTAAAAACCGGGTAATCGGGTTCCCTACGGGGCGGCATTTGATCACTGAGAAAGTTCAACATTATTGAACACATGATAACATTCTGACTGATTACTAAGGCACACAGATCTCTTGACGAGTTGCCAACAATGGCCGATAATTACTGACATGAATCCTGAGGAACTCTAGAGTCATATCAGAAGATTCTAATTTCTAGAGTCATATCTGAATGCCTTGAATTCTAAAGTCATATGTGGAAGTCCTGAATACTAAAGTCCGATCCTGATTCGAGCATCTTAACTAAGGTCCTGATCCATAATTCTGAGCATTGACATAGTAATATGTTTATAACTGAAAACATAAATCAGCACTTACCTGTCGTCGGCGGGGCGTGAGCATGACGATTCAGGTTTTCCTGAAAAATTACTGACTGAAAAACTTTTCAGAGACGCAGAAACGTGCTCTGATACCAATTGTAACACCCCTCCTTATCGTTAAAATCAGAGTGCGAAAACTTCGCAAAGTCTTTTAAAAATTAATCTTTTACTTTGCGAAAACTGATTCGGGGTGCTACCTTAAAAACGTGACTTAAATTTGGAAAACCGTTATTTTAATTTTTAATAAAATCCTATGATTACTGAAAGCATAAAATTTTCCAAAAGTCCGTCAAAATATAAGTTCGTCAAAAGTCATCATCAGCGGAAACGTAAATCATCATCACATATATACAATCAAAACATGAAAGTCCTGAAGTCCTCCTCTGCTCAAGCTCCCTGCCCGACATCCTGACCTAAAAAACATGATAACAGTGGGAAATGAGCACTATGGCACTGTGCTCCTTGGAAACTCATACTAATGTAAACATTGAAAATAATAACAACATCATGATATCGGCATATACATAACCTCAACCCTCAGCCGGTAATAACATGAACATGAATCTGAAATCGTCACGCAAACGTGACCCTGACCGTTACCTCATCTGCCGGCAAAAAATAATGTCGGACACCATGTGCACACTCTAGTGGGCAGACTAGGGCCACTAGAACCC